TGGCCGTCGAGGGAGGCACAGTGACAGCGTTCTCTGTGCTCCCTCGTAGCCGCCGGTGTGCGCCCTGGGAGCAGCGCTGGAGCTCGGCCACAGGCGACTCCCGCACGGACAGGATGGTTTTTAGGGAAGGGGAATGATCGAATCATATTAACTTGTGTTGTTAAATCAGTTAAATGTTATTAGTGGAAATCATTCTAGACTTCGCAGCTGGAGTTGTAACCACTCCTGAAAGCTGTTATGAACATTATTGGAATATTTCAGGTTCCCAATATCTGGCTTCTATGAAATCTGTGTTCAGACATCATCGCCCAGTTGCAGGTACTGCTACCTCTGCCACAACAGCAGAGGCATCCCCTTAAAGCAGTGACATGGGTATGTATGCAGAGGGAAAAGGATCACATGGAAAAAAAGCTGGTGAGGGAATACCTGAGTACAGTACAAATGAGTTCAGGCAACAAATCAGCATGTTAGCACTGGCCACTGCATAGGCCAGACCCACTTTATCACAGAAATAGCTTTTCTTCCATTGCAAATGTTAAGGCATATGGTGCAAGAAACAAGGGTTTATCCTCGCCTACTGGCCAGAAGCTAGTGCTGCTCTTACACTGAAAGTGTCTTCGTTTATATCACTGTCACTCCTCACTTCAGAAAGAAGTGATCTGTCCTCTGCTAACTCTGTGCAGAACTGATATCAGTTCCAATCTTTAAACTGCAGCCACTGTCTTCCTCTCAAGTGTGCTAGTTTGGAAAGCAAAAAGCAACGTCAACACCTTTGGAACAGGAGGGCCCCCAAGCCCTACACCTCTAAGTCACTGTCAGATGTGAAACCAACACCTTCCACACACACCTACAGCAATGTGTAAAGCACATAACGAAGGGCGGCACACAACAAAAATGGTATGCCAGCAGGAAACGGACTGCCTGGGGACAGTTTACACCTTGTTAGTGTCTGGCAGAGTTATTACAATGACTGTCAAGGATTGTACTGAGGTTCTCTCTATACAAAATCACAGGAAGATATTTCGTCTCAATTACTCTTCTAAAAAGAGAGCTAATAAAGTGAATGATCCTGATTGAAAGACATCACTATCCCTTTCTCATCATTCCCCCCAGATTTAACAGGAGTAAATTCAAATAACAAGTCAGCATATTAGAAACAGTGGTAGCTCACACTCCATCTATTTTTTGTTGTATTTGGAAGTCTTTTTTAAACTTGTAAAGGTTAAAGGCATGGCCTGCCAGCTGTGATGGCTTGTCATCAGCTGAAATCTTCCACTTGCTTCTGGTCAAGTGACTTTATAACCTGTGACTTTAGAACCTGTAGTGCTACTTTTCATTTTGTAGCCGAAGTCATAGAAACCTTTCCAAGATGAGCGAAAAGCACATTTGCCTACATTTCAAAACTCCCATGACCAGCATGAGTGCACACAGCACCAGTCACATGCTGCAATCCTTCTGTAGGAAGGTGTGCCCGTTTTCTTTTTGAAATCTGACTTGTGATATCCCAGGCATTTATTTGGCACCACTGCTGTTTTAACAACTAAATCTACAATAAGTCACCTTTGGGGAAGGGAATTTTTTCTTCAATAAGGTGCCCAAACCACTCTGTCTTTTGTCAAGAAGGCAGAGGTACTGCAGAGAGGATGGCAGGGTCTGCCTAAAGAGACAGCAAATAAAGTCAGTATCTGCAAGTCAATACAGCAAATATCTGTGCAGTATCTAGGTAGTGCTGCACCTTTTTTATTCTAGCCCCTAAAGACAAAATAGCTATTAACTCACGTGGAGATTATCTGTGTGCCTACACATAATCAGTACCCTTTCAGTATGAGATGACAGTTTACCACTTCCTGTGGTTTACTTTATCTTTTTCAGAAAGAGTAAAGATTCAAGAGAGATGTTTTGTAATACAAATTTGCAAGAAAATGAAGTTAACACTTTCCCGACAATCTTAGCCTTGGCCCTTTTAACAGACTTAGCAGTCTTCATTCCTTCCTTCGATCATTCTGCATTACACCCTACATGTAGCTCATGTTGGCCCTGTGGTTTGTGTGCGATGCCTTTAAAACAGCTGCTGAAATCCCACTACCAAGCAGCTACCTTGGCCTTTTGCAGTGAAAAGCTTTTGGCTTCTACCTGGAAGGAATGAAAACCAGCCATGCAGAGGGGCCTGTGTGACAGCCCTGGGATGGTTCATTTCAAACAAATCAGCATAAGTAATGGAAAGCACAGTTTTAAGCTAACAGTAGTGATCCATATTAAACAGGTTACCATGATTTTGGGGAGCAGTTCTGATAGTTAGCAAACCATGGCACTGAGCAGCTCACAAATAAGCTACGTGAACAGTTAACCTTGGTCAGCCCATCACTGTGTGTTTGCATCAAAAGATAGCTCTTCTATAACTGCAGACTTTCCAAGCAGTCCCTTGAGCCTGGCAGCAAGTTTTAAAAGCTTCTCTGGTTGCCACCAAGGAAACTATGGAGCTGTTCTGCATGTGGTCAGCCTTCTAGAGATGAGAATGTTACCAGGCATTATCATAGGCAAAGATATCTCAAGACTAATTTCCCTTCCTAGAAACTGCATTATTGGTGTGTAAGAAGGATAAGTTCCCAACTCTGTAGAGACTTCTGATGGTTGGTTCAGCTGGCAAAACTACTGCCAAGTTTTCTAAAGCTTTGGGTTCAGACACATGTTTTTATTTGATGTGTATTATACGATTTCAACCTGAATAAATCTAACATCTGAAGGAAAACTGTAAAAGTAGATGAGATGCTGTTCTCTCATTTGGTAGATATCTGGAGAAGGTAGTAAAATGCAATCTACTTGAATCAGTTTAAGTGTTAGTTCAAAAGTATCATCAATTGTGAGGGTTTGTTGGTTTTTTTTTTTTTTTTGAAACTCAGTTATTCTTGAATTTAATCTAAGTTTTTGAAAATGGTAACAGTAATGTTAACATTGCCAGTGGTAGAATGGCAAATTAATTTTTAATTACATGATAAATATGATGATATATGATAATGAAATGATAAATGTCACTGATAAAAGGAAAAAGAAAGGTGCTAGTTTTGAAGTCAGTAGGAAATAGTTCTGTAATAACAGAAGGTCAGTGATGCCATGGTCTAATAAAAATATAAAATGCTGCATGATTATCAAAGGGAAACCTACAGGTCTGACAGACAATGTCAGGTAGTAGTACAGGCACCTGAGTTCTTCTAGAATCATGTTTGTCTCCACTGGCTCCAAACTCTGTATTTTGTCAGGTGTGCATAGAAAATCAAATGCAAAGCTGGGAACTGAACCTGGTTTTACTGTCAGAGCTCCTCCTAGAGACTTTAAAAGTTTTGTTGGTGTTATACCAGTTTGTTGGTTAACTGGGCAACTCAAGCCTGAATGAAAAGTAGCAGTATTAGACCTAGCTAAAAATTGACTTTTAATCTTATATTCTGTCCTTGTTTTCTGTCTTCTCCCTTTCCACACCCAGAAGCTTCCCCAGAGTACAGAGGAGGCTACGTGGTTTCTGTACAGCAGAAATGTCACAGACAGGAGGCTGAGTTCCTGATTAACATCAGCTCCTTCCACTTTAACCGCAACTATTTAAGCCAAGCAATAAAACAAAAAGAAAAATCAATAATTGAATCATGCCTCTGTTGCAGATGGATACACTACTGATGATATTGAATTTTACTGGAATGGAGGAGAATCAGCAGTAACAGGAGTTAATAACATCGAGCTCCCACAATTTTCTGTTGTTGATTACAAGATGGTATCAAAGAGAGTGGAATTTACAACAGGTAAGAACTGGCTAGTTAAAAAAGCTTCCCCCTGTTCCTCAGCCCAGAAATATCAGTGTCTAACTTTTGTTAGGCATTAGTCATTTTATGACTTCTTTCTTTCAGGAGCGTATCCTCGATTATCACTGAGCTTCCGGCTTAAAAGAAATATTGGATACTTCATTTTGCAAACCTATATGCCTTCCACACTCATAACAATTCTGTCATGGGTATCTTTTTGGATCAATTATGATGCTTCTGCAGCCAGAGTTGCTCTAGGTAACTTCAAAATCACTGAACTACATGAATACTTTCTGTCTTTGAATACAGTAGCACCAAATTCATACAGCTGAAAGCACCAGCATTCATTGTGATCTTACACATGCAGCACAGCGTCTTCATTGTCAGAAAGGTAGGCAGGTATCACCTTCCCTGCATCTGAAGTTCTTGTTCTGTAGTTAGGTTGGGATCCTGACTGACTTCCAGTTGCCATGATGGTCTTTGGATCAGGCCAAGAAGTACCTTGCTTCCAAACTGAAGCATAAAGGTCTAATTCAGTTATCTTAAGGGTATTTATGTTGTGCTGCATCAACATTTCATTAATGTTAAAAAGTGTCCTCTCAGGCTAAATGTGTGACTGAAATGAATAGACAAGATCCTAATGACATGAGTGGAGACACACCAGCTTACACCAAATAAGCCTGGTTTACCTACATAGTTTGTCCTTTCCTGTACCATGTTTCTTCCTACAACTTTCCATAATAACCGAGATTTCTGCCATTATCTGCGCTTCAAGGCAGATAGGCTTTTCAAATGCTAATGCTAGAAAGCCACTTGTGCCTACAGCTACTATCCAGATGCATTCATGACATGTGATTAAAGCAAACTAAGTATTTTTTCCAGCTAAGACAAAACACATTAAAAAAAAAAAAAAAAAAAAAAATCATGCAGTGATGGATAACAGAGTGAGGTGGAAATTAACTTTACTTGAAAGCACCTCTTTAACAGGAAGAGCTGCTTTGAAACAAGCATATATATCACTTTCTCTTCATCAAAGACCATCACTTTATCATAAAGTTTCCCTTTCTCCTTTCAATCCTCTGTTTTCAGTCAAAAGCTAGATACTTATTCAGGTTCCCCAGAACAATGCAAGTCACCCTGTGGGGTCAAGCAGGGCTACTGCTTTAAGTAAAGTGAGAAGCATTTCCTCACATAGAAATAACAGTGATCAACTCTTTACTGTAGAGGTCAGCTAATACCACGTTCCCTAGCACAGTTATTGTAAAAATTAAGGCAAGATATACCAAGATAGCTTGGGTTTTTGAAGGCTATTTCATTCACCCTCCATTGCATGGAAAGCCATGGAAGGTACTATCAGCAGGCCTGCAAGGGTATCTTCATTTCCAGTCCTGCAAAACACATTCCCTTGGCTGTTAAGAATCTGATCACATACTTAAGCCTGAGAAGAGCATGAGAAGTGCACGGTAGCTGGGCAATGCTGCCGTTACACCTTTCACATGCAAAGCTCTTTCCCATTCTTGTTAGTCAATGTCTTTTTCTTCCTTTCACAGGAATCACAACTGTGTTGACCATGACCACCATCAGCACCCACCTCAGGGAGACTTTGCCAAAGATTCCCTATGTCAAAGCAATAGATATTTACCTGATGGGATGCTTCGTGTTTGTATTCCTGGCCTTGCTGGAATATGCCCTTGTAAACTACATATTCTTTGGGAAAGGACCCCAACATCAGAAAAAAGCAGCAGGCAGGGCAGGACATGCTACAAGCAAGAAGAGCAGACTGGAAACAAATAGAGTCCAGGTAAAATGCTTAAGCTCATTTTCGAAATGTTATTTCTGTTGTGACAATGTTGATGTGTATGATGATAAAGATAGAAGTAATTTAAATACATATGTAAAAGCATTTAAGGTTGTCTAGAGAAAAACGGTATTCTAAGGAGATTACACCAACATATGGTTTATTCCATCTTCAACTGAAAACAGAGTAAGAAACTACAGAAAATGCAAATGAATATTCAGAACAAGCATTTATTTGCAGCACAGCAGAAATACAAGGGGTACAAAAAAGTTAAATATTTACCATTTCAACTGTATATTTCTTTGCTGTAGAAGGTAGTATAGAAGAAATGTTTATTATATAGTTCCTCTTTACACACAGAAACTTCACCAAAAATAGAAAACAAAGACAGACACTGTTGCTCCAGTGAGTTATGATTGAAGCCTACACCACTGAGCTTCCAGGAACATAAAGAGGATGCTGTTAGGCTCTAACAGTTTTCACAGATGTCAGGATTTTTCCCTCAGGCTAAATTCAGGCAGGCCACAACTACCTCCTATGAAAAAGCAAGCCAGACAAGCTCAAGGAAGTAATATTATGGACACTTTTTTTAAACTAGGACAATCTACCAGTACATCACTGAGCACTTAAAAACTTCTATAAACCTATTCCATTTTTTCCCAGTTTTTCAGAAATGAACACTTTCCTCAGGTGTATTTCACCCAATCTGACTCAGAAGAAAACACAACCCCTAATGAGCCCCAAATTTTCTTCTGTTCTTTGCTTTTCTTACAATATATTACGTCCAAGTATTAATGAGATCTTACCCAGGCTGTCCTATAAACTCCTCTACTGTTGTGGCCTGAGCTGGTAACATTTGGACAAAATTATACTGGACCATGTGTTCAGCTTGGAGAATGAGACTGATACATAAAACTCTGACTAAAGGTAAGACTTTAGCTTGATGGATGGTTGCAATTTCACATACGTGCCAGGAAGCACATTTCAGAAACTCTGATACTTTATTAATTATAGAGTTGTGCTCTTTGTGTCCCAGCAGCCACACCACTACAACTAAGCATCATTAAGAGTCATCATGTCCTCAGTCTCAGTGAACTCATGAGCCCATTAAAAGCCCTTTCCTGCATTAGCCTCCTATCCCAGTGTGTAGGAGGCGCTTTATTACAGTGGGTGGATGAATTCAGTCCAGGCTGACAGTAGTCTCCAAGGTCCCACAAAGTATTGTCCTCCACAGAGCAGACGAGGTAAGCCACCCTGTTATGGGTTATTGTGTGCAGACACCATCTACGCATTTCTGTGGAAGTTAAGGAACGGGAAAAAACAGCAAAACACACAAACTCTAACCAGCCACCTCAACAGCTCTGGAGATAACCCAGCCTAGGTGAGAAGAAGTACAGCAGGGATTCATGATGAAGAGGGAAGCAACACTTCTTCAGAGGTCAGCTTTGGCTGCCTGGGCCCTAGTGCACAGAACTAAGGATGAGAAAGTGTGAAGGATAAGAGTGCAGGTAAGCTCTTTTTCCTACATATTTGGAGACTTCTTTTAACTAACAAAAAGCCCTAACTCATGACCTAAAACTTCTGTCTAAATGTTACACTGACAAAGATTACGCTGAGACCAGTACTCAGAATGGGATGGAAAGTATTTACAACCACACTTGAACTTTTCAGAGCACCACATGCATACACCAGCATTTTTCTGACAGAAAACAGAAGGCACACATGCTTTGTATGAGGATTTGGAAGGGTTCATACTTTAGACTGAAATTCCATTCTGAGACTGTAAATGCCTTAAGTGAACTGCTTTTTGCCTGTACAGTGCAGGTTTGTGAATTTAGATACACATATATATTCACATACACATAGACACACACATGTGAATGGATAGCAATGGATTTTGTTATCCCACTGAAGATGATAACATTGATGTGGGACCTAGTGATCATTCATTTTACTCAGCATGGAAACGCAGATGTCCAATAGCAGGAAGAATGCACATGACCAGAGCAGTGGGGCATGGTAAGGTTATGAGATCTCTAACGAAGACAGCTCCCAGGCCCTCTGCTTCATGTTTTGAGAATTTTCACTGGTATTATGATATCTGTACTTGAACAGGGGAAAGATTTTTTGGAGCACAAAGGAAGTACAGCTGTAAGTATATACAGCTATAGTGTAACTTTTTCCTTTTACTCTTGACCCATACTACTTATCCTTACAGGGACCTATAATCAGGAGAAGATACTTAACAGTGCTTCCTCTCCTTGTGCCAGGTGAAGATATTTCTTGTTCCCACCTGACATCCAACTCACATGACTAAAAGAGTTCAAATTCCTGCATCAGAAACAAAAGCCTCAGACATGAGCAACACTCAGCAAACTGACCGTGATATTAACAGAGTATAGAGAAGACCAGGTGGAAGAGGAAACCATACTGCTGTTTCATATGTGGCTGTTCTTGCTCTACAGTCTGAAGAAGGTGGAAATAAAGCCTCTCCAGTTTCATAATTTATGTAATTTTAATTTTTAATATGCAAAAACAAAAATTAATTTGTAGCAAAAAAGCTTTCTGTTTCTCTGAATAAAGGATAAAGACTGTTTATATCTCCTTGACCATTTGTCAAAGCTAGATGCCACTGAGGAAACTACCCAGCAAGAAAATATTTTGATAGTCTATGTATACAATTGCTTCTGTTTCCCCAGACAATTATAATATGAATAATCATTACACAGAAGATGTCTCTTAAGCATGAGAAAGAGGTAGGATGCAATCATAATGTGAGCGGGAAAGGGGCTGAGCCATCGAGGGGTTCATAAATGGCAACAAAAGGCAGATGATGGATGGTCTTTTCTCCCCCAGTTCTGGAGAGCATCACACCTTTCTTTGAACCTTTTGTGAACCACAAAACACCTGGGATGGAAACCTGTTTCTTTGCAGATCAGATTGTGATAACACTACTGCATTTGTTCCAAGAAGACAGCTTTTATGAGTAACATGGCCCTGAATCTGTCATATTAAGAGAAAGAAAGGATGTTTTTGTATTGAGACAAAAGAAAAGTTCTTACCTTTCATCTCCCACCAGTTAACATAAAAAAAGAGTAGAAAGTAGGTAGGTAAAAACTCATTCCAGACAGCACTAAGTATTTGGGACTCACCCTCTTCAAGGAATGCCAACATGCTTTTACCCTAGAGCTGACTGACTATTTTTTTATGTGGTTAACACAGGACTGTCGGGTTATGTTTTTTTTATTACTTTAATTATTTTACACTTACAATACCATTTGATGTGGGGAAAGAGCCTCATCACTGTGACATGGAGTGGAATGAGTTAAATAAAGCCTGCTGGCTGTTCCTGATGCACAGAACCAACAGCAAGCCCCACGTAACCTCATATTAAGTAAGGGCAAAAAGATTTTAAGACATTTTTACAGTGTGCATATTTGCTGTTAATTCATTCTAGCATTAACATAAACAAAATTAATAACAAGTCTCTTTGGAGTATCCCTTAACTATTTGTACATTTTCCAGATTCCAGATATGGGAACTGTTAGAATTCTTATGCTTTAGTAACAAAACCTCAGCTGCACAAGTTTTAAGAATATTTTGGAGTGAACTTCAACAAATTCTGAAAGGGTTTTTAGTAATGTGGGAAATTAACTACTATTAGTCCAATTTCATGTTGCAGAAGCAGAGAATTTGACCCAGGTACATAAGAAGAGCTTTTAGCTTTGGTATTTCTCTGAGCTACTTTATTCAAGACCAGTGTAAGGTTCTTTGCTCTGAATTACAATGACTGCAATTCAAAGATTGGATTGCTTCATGATGTATACAAATCATCCTGCCTAAAATGATGTAAATAAACTAATTTTAAAATATACCAGGTTCATTCATAACACTTAAAGTGGGAATTCATACACTGCTTGGCTTATAATAAACTGTCAGGGCATATTAGTTTAAGAAACGTCCCCATGAATTTCGATTGTAGGCAGTTATGAGTTGTCTTCACAAAAAAGAAGCCATAATAACTGTTTAATGATGCTTGCGCTACTGTTACTACTATTATAACACTAAAGTCAATTAGCTTAAAGATTAGGTTATATAATCAAAGACAGCTCAAAGAGCTGGGGAAAAAAACTGGGGAAAAACATTTACCTACCAAACCTTCTGAGGATTAAAAAATATCTCTTTTTACATGGAGATCGTTGCTTTTTCCACAGAAAATGTCAGAACTTAGGAGTAATGAACAGTCCCATAGTTATGGCAGCCCTCTGGAGAGTAGGAGACCCTAGCTTAGATCTTCCTTCTGCTTAAATTTGAAGTCTTGAGCTAGAAAGAATAAACTGGGTAGCCCGCATCTCAAGTAAAGATTGCAAACACCATGCTGGTTTATAACCAGCTGGCCTCTCTAATCCAGAATATGCGAGTTTTTCCTACCAAAACAGTGGTGGGAAAAGGGATGTCCCCACTGAATGCTTATTTCAACATACATAGAATCAGTTGCTAAACCAGACAAGTGTATTTTCTCTCTGTGGTGATTTATTACTCCATTTAGAAGACTTTTTTTCCCTCCACAGTTCTCCTGGGTAGCTTTTGTACAAATAGCCCCTTTACTTGTTTTTAGTTAGTAAATGCTTAGTTTGGCACAGTGTAAATACACCAGCAGTCATCATGCAACGTTTTCTCCTTCTAGCGATGGGAAGGAACATCTTCCATGCTGCCAGGTGGAACCAAGGCTTCTCTGGCTTCCAGCTTTCCTCCGCAGCAATCCCCAGAGACTCGATTTCCCCATGTGCTCTGCTTGGAGTTTTTTCTTGAACATACTTCTACCTGCTGTAGATTATTATATCATTTCCTAGCTCTGCTATGTCTTGCTATAAATGTAAACCTCAGAGTGTGAACAAAGTATTGCATATCACTGGTGCTTCACAAGACTAAACATTGCAAGTAAGACAATAAGACAAGTAAGACAATAAGTAATTTTCTTTTTCCTTGGTACAAAGGCATTGCCAGACAGTCGTGGTATAGATCATAATATACTTGGAGTAGGTCCAACACCACAGTTTACAACAAAAAATTTTAATACCCAAATCTCAAGTCAAAGTCTCTGAAGTTTCATTTAAAAGGTCTGTGTCCTAATGTGTATTTCCCTCATATGAGCTACAGTGGATGTTTAAATATCTGGGAATTTGAAACATCTAGGAAGTCTTTATTGGCGAAATGAGGAGACATCCTGGAAACACCAAAGACACTTTCTAAAAGAGGTTTTACTACATACAAGCCGAAAACTAAAGATAAGTGAAAAGGTAAACACTTTGTAGTAACGAAGCCATTAATAGTTAATTACATTCATACATAAAAAATGCAATGATATTAAAATATTTTTTATATACATATATCATTGTTTGTACTGGACATGTATAGATTGGTTGCAGTTTTCAGTTCTTTGCTTAGGCACTTAAAACAGTGCCCTGACTAACTAACAGCACAAATGAACTAAGTGATAAACATATTTGAAACAACTGCTTCTGGTACCAACATAGAAAAATTCAACTGAATATAAGGTTTTATTGAGTAAAATGGATTATTCTATCTGCGCATGGGCAAGTTAATGATGTGCTGTTGTGAGTAGTGATTTTCATCTCTGTAGTAATCTTCCAAAATTAATTCTCATTAAAAGCATTTTACAATAACTGATAAAATGCACATTACCTACATACTCTTCATCCAGTGAACCCATTATTACAAAGCAGGTCTTGAAACTAACCTACAGCACTAAAACTGTATAAATCTGTATAAAATGGGCAGAGACAGAAACATTTAATTTTTACTTTGAGTATTTGAAAACACCAGGTCACAAGACATGAAAAATCAGTATTTCATAAAGACCATGATCTAATTTAAAGATAAAACTTTACACGGGATGATATAACTAGCTGAATTAAAGGGTCCCAGACCAAGCAACCAGGTCAGGATGGAAGGTACTTAGATGCTTAATAGCTAATTTCACACTAGTCAGGAAAGTACATTCAGTATCTTTTCATCTTCTCAACGCTGTACAAGACAAAACTGTCACTACAGCCCCAGGAGCACCTCAGCAGTAGAGCAAGAAGGTACCTGTCCGCCTGGGAAACACCTTGGGCTGGCTGAGGAACTTGTCTAATTCACATTCCTTCCTTGACACAGGTTGATCCCCATGGAGTCATGCTTCTTAACTCACTTGAAGTACGAAATGACATCAGCAGTTCAGATGCGTGCACGAGCCTCCGTGGCAGCCGCGCCACCATGTACACATACGACAGTGCCAACCTGCAGTACAGAAGAGCCACTTCCAGCAGAGACCTCTACAGTAGGAGTGCTCTGGACAGGCAAAGGCTTCATAAGAAAGGACACTTACGAAGGAGGGCATCTCAGATCAAAGTCAAAATCCCTGATTTGACTGATGTTAACTTGATAGACAAGTGGTCCAGAATGGTCTTTCCCATCACATTTATTCTTTTCAATGTTGTTTACTGGCTGTATTATGTACACTAATTTATGCAATAACATTACCATAGACTAATATAATTAGACTTGTTTCTTTTCTTTCTCAATTTTATTAACTCTGAAGAACTGCAGTAGCCATAATGTTACACATTCAAGGTAAGATACCCACCTATTGGATACTTCTGGATTTAAGCTTTAAAAACCAAAACCAACCCACAACCCAAATCCAGCCTCAGCACATTCAGATCAGAATAGTACACATCTGCTCTTAAAGAGCATCTTCAGCCAAAGTGCTATACCTCGATGTCTACAAAGAGTTTGCACACCACCCATGACCTTTCTGTACTCACTTTCATCTATTTTTTTAAATGGATTAAAAATCAGTCCTACTGTATTTCTTACCACATATTTGCAGCCCACAGCAGTATGCTTCCAAACAACACAGTAAACCAACTCGAAGTAGTAGTTGTGTCACAGTCTTTCAATATTTAGCATATAGAAATTTGGGGAAATAACTCCTTGAAGGATTATAATTATTACATCATGTGTCGTTTCAAAGTTAATAGTTACATTGGGAAGAACTTCCATAGTGTCTGAGAAGTATCACTCAAGGAGGAGTTAATTCATGTTTTCAGAGAAGTGGGGATCTTCAAAAGAAAGAAAGAAAGAGTAGCAGAGACAAATCTCACAGAATTTCCAACTAAGGAATCAGCTGATTGGATCTAGCTGGAATGTTGTTATTTCCACAAAGTAGCAAAGTTGAAATTGATAAGAACAATTGTGCCATCTGTAATTTTGTATTAAAAAATAAAAAACCAAATGTGTTAATTCCTGGAAGCAACTACTGAGGGATACCACAGGCCAAGAGTGGCCACTTTTCCTGTGGCTGGCAATTGCAACACATTCTCCCAAAAGTTGGTAGATGTCTGGGAACAGATCGGAGATTTCTGCATACCATTTCCTACAGATTTCCTTATATTGCTGAGGAACAAGAGATATGGCTGAGCCTTACAGCACGCTGGTGATGCTGGGTACACTGCTCTTGAGGAGCTGCCTCTCCCAACTCAACTGCTTATCACCTGACACAACTCCAGCCAAGGAGCCACAGGCAAAGTATTAGCTAAGCCCATGCAACTGAGAAGCAATAGGTCAGTCACCTCCTACCTGTACCAATTCCCTTTCTCTATTGCCAGTTTTTTCCTAACAGAGTTTCCACTATGTTGCCTAACATAGCATTTTATTGAAAAAGAACTATTAACAGTTAAATTTTATTTCGTATTGAAATTGTTTCATAATTTTAGTAGAGTCAAGATATACAAGCCAACAGAGTCTATGTAAGTATCAAGGTGATTGTTATCAATGCCAGCTGGTACAGAGACACTGATGAGGACAGTAGGCAGCAATACACACAGCAAGGAGTTAGTAGAGAATATAGACAAGTGATGTAGGAAGCTTCTTCATCAGTTCCTCATTGCCTGGCATCAAGGTCAACTGATGACCTTATCCAGCTGACACTACAACTTTTTAAGCAGAACATAATAATAAATGAAACACTCCTACATGTTAATATTAATCACATCCTGCAAGACCTGGACCTCCTAACAGATCAGGACCTGCCACTCCTGCCCTTTGTGCAGCAGACTTCTGCAGAAATAGTGTGGAATGATAAATCAGCAGACAAGAAAGGGTTCAATTTGCTCATTATAAGGTCCTTTCCAACCCTAACCTTCTATGATAACAAAAAAATATAAGGCTGCAAAACAGGCATTTGACATTGCTAATCTAAGGAGGTCCTTGAGACTATCAGTTTTTCTGTGGGCTCAAAAGTCCCAGTCTCATCCCAAGTTCAGGGGAGCGGTGAAGTAGACTGCTAGCATCTGCACAGACATAGTTTTTAGCTTATGGATCATCCAGCCACTTCCTTCACAGATGTTAGACAGGTGGGCTAAAAGTAGTTCCATTGTACCATTCCAAACAACAAAAAAAAGTAAAAAAAAAAAAAAAAAAAGGGAGGGGTATGGAGCAGAGGAAGGGTCATTAACAACCAAGAGCACTGCAAATGCAGAACTCCATGAAGAACAGCATGTTCTAAAACAGCAGGGTCTACCCCTGTGCATCAAGAGTCCTTCAACACATGCCACTGATACAAACCCCAGCCCTGCTGCCAGTTTTGAATGGCACACACCAAGGCCTGGCTGCATCCAGAGAGAGAAAACAGCTGCCAGCTCTTGGCATGAAGTTCTGCAGCAGGAGCTAACAACCCTACCACATAGAGGTAAGAGCCCCTGTTGTGGTTTAAGCCCAGCCGGTAACTTGGAACCATGCAGCCGCTCACTCACTCCCCCCACTTCTTCTTCCTCCTCCTGCTCCCAGAGGGATGGAGAGGAGAATCAGAAGAACGTAACTCCCACGGGTTCTAATAACAGCCTTCCATCAATTAAGGTATAATACAAACCACTACTGCTACCAATAATAATGATAAGAGGAATAACAAGGGAAAAGGACACAACCGCTCACCACCCGCCGACCGATACCCAGCCCGACCCGAGCAGCGATCTGGGCCTTCCGGGTAACTCCCTCCAGTTTATATACTGGGCATGACGTGCTGTGGTATGGAATACCCCTTTGGCCAGTTTGGGTCAGGTGTCCTGTCTCTGCTTCCTCCCGGCTTCCCCTCCTCCCTGGCAGAGCATGAGACTGAGAAAGTCCTTGGTCAGAGTAAACATTACTGAGCAACAACTAAAAACATCGGTGTTATCAGCGTTGTTCCCAGGCTGAAAGTCAAAACCACAGCACTGCACCAGCTACTAAGACGAAGAAAAAATGACTGCTGTAGCTGAACCCAGAACAGTCCCTTAATGCAGGTTGACAATATCTTAGCCCAGAGCCAGCATCTCTGGTATCCTCCTGAGCTCCTATCTGCACATTTAACCACTAACTCTCGTAAAGAAAACAGAATTTGGCATACAAGCTTTCAAGGCACATTGGATTGAAACTAAACCCTCTTTCAAAGCCTCAAGAGGGAATTAAAACCAAAACTTGTGAACAGGGTGTACAACCATAACTAGCACATCATCCCTCTTTCGACTACTTTTAGAAAAAAAGCAGAAGAAAACATTTCTCACTTGAGAGCAATAGCTTGGCAGCAAGGAAAAGGCAGTGGTTATTAGAAGCACAGGATGTAAAAATGTGTCTGTTTATGGATTACCCATGTACATTGCCATCTGGAGCTAGAAATTAGTGAGTACTAAAGAAACAACCTCTTCCCACCAATACATTGGAGTGATTTGGCTGGTGTTTAGCAAGAAAGGTGAAATACACAATAATGCTAAGCTCTGTCACTGTTGCACTTTAGTAGTTAGTTTGCCTGCCCTTAGGAACCAGACGTCATGATCAACATAGATAAGGTCCTATTGCTAATTAGATTTTGGTAAACCAAGTTACAATCTGTACAGCTGCCTCATGCAATTTGCACTAGAGGTCCTTTTTAGCTAGGTTTCCAAAGCATATGAGCTTCTACCGTCCTAGTGCGCACATTTTCTCCCAACAATACTTCAATCCCTTGGCAATTTCAACCAAAAGATAACAGAACAGTAAGGATCTACGAGATGTTACATTCTGACAAGTTTCAACAAAGCAGCTAGCTGAGCAGAGGACAGAGCTCATGTTAATCCAGTCCTCTTCTATGGCAGAAAGAGACTTGAACGCCAACCTTATTAGTCACAAGAAATAATATTTTAAATACCACAGGAATATTTCTGACAACATTCTTTTGCTTTATGCTACTACCGAAACAGCACAGAAATTGCCACTTTGGAGTCGCCTGCTGCTTCACCTTGTTCACCCTTGTACAGATAAGTTTCAGCTCCTTGTACTGCAAGTGGAGGATTTCTTGAGATAAATCATGAAGAAAATCATCCAGGGGTGTGGCCACGTTCCACCAGCTGCTTGTTTCCAATCATTGATGAACCTCTGCCCCTTCTCATGAATTCCCATGTTCGGAGGATACATTCCTAACACTGCCTTGGAAGTACTAGTCAAAAAAAGGGCTGTTGTACCTGTTGTGTACAAAAATATTTTTAAATATTTTTTCTGCATTACAAAGCATAAAACCCCCACATCTGTGATTGCACAAGTGTGTTTCTTCCTGCTCCCATGGGCAACCATCCTGTAGCCCAAAGAAGGCAGGAGATCACAGAATATTCAATTTCAGCATGTAATAATACCAAAATGTATATGCATATGGTGAAAGAATTAAGAGACAAACAAGAAATCTGGCATTTCTTAGAGGAAGACGGGGTGACTTTGGTCTACTTACGGTCTTGGAGTGCAGAGTGAATTCTAATTATATTGTCTGCTCCTTTATAATTTTGTAAGTAAATCTGAGTTTCCAAGCGTTACAAAAACATCACCTCTTGCCTTGTGCTGGTACCGATCTAAGAAACGGCCTGGTAGTCACTCTTTTACATTTTTATTCTTAGCAAAATACAATTGCATTTGAGTATCATTACCGACAAGGACCTAAAATGACAGCGGAAGCACATCATCTCTCCAGAGATGGTCTCTGACCAATAATGTCTTTTAACTCATCACTGGCTACCTGTAAAGTCTACACAAATTTTAAAATACTAATCACACTGCCAAAAATGTTCAAAGATGGTTCCTTTGGTAGATTATGCATTTCAGTGACAGCATCAGCAACCTTGCTTTCATCTGAGAACAGTTTCCTTGTTTCCATCTCTGAATCATCATTTACTGTTTTGATCTAGCTGACAACATATTACCTGTTTTTTTTTAGATTTTCAGAGGCAACTAACTTTGAATATTGTGTGCTACAGCAAACAGCAACTTTACAAATCAAAGCCAGCCAATCATCATTTCAAGAAAGAGCTGTACAAGACTTTGGCATAAGAATTCAGGATTGGGTTTTACTAAGGCAGTTAACAGCAGTTTTTGTCAATGCTTGTTCTGGCTCCCATTTAAATCAGAATCAACAGAAATATGGGAAGGGAAAAAAAATTAAAATGTTATGTAATCTCTATAATGCTAGGAATGCTTCCCCAAAGACAGTCTGCCACCAAAGCAGTCCCTGTGGACCTGTAGTTGTTCCCAGTTACAAAAATCCCCACACCTTCCAGTGCCTTTCATTACTGTATTAGCTAAATTAACTGACTAACCTGATGCAAAAAACAGCCAGAGCCTTCTCTACACTGGACTCCCACAGGAGCTAAGACATACAAAGAGTACCTTTGAGTAAAATCCCCAACCATAAACAACGTGAAGGGTTGAACATCTTCTATGAAGCGACTAGACCTAGAGGAGAGGGAAAAGTAGCATCAAGACAAATATACATATGAATAAAATAAATAGATCTGATCAATTCATTCCTTACACTCGCAATTAAAAATTAGCATGCTCCAGACCACTGGACAACCTGCAGTAACTCTTTCCAGATTTTTTATAAAGCTAAACAAATATCAATTCCAACCTCAATTTTTTAGCTTGAATTTGGTACCACTTATGTAAGGTCTTTACCTTATTTCAGTGGCTTATGTATATTCAAGATGATGATCAATTTCTGTTAGAGATTGTGGTCCTTTCAGTGCAAGGCATTTTCCAGTCTTCCATTCTTACGACTCTGTACTAGCTTCTCCACCTTTTTCTGATCTCTCTTGAACTGCTGCCACTGAACGACACGCGTATCTCACTAAGCATACCAGTATGAAATAAAATGGAAACAGACTGGTTTTTATACACACACATTTTTTAAAAATGTTCTGATCCACAAACAAAACTTCTGTCCTAGTTTTAATATTAGAAACATGTATTTAGGTTTCCTATCCCTGAAGCCTGTTAAAATCCCTTTCATAGATGCCTTTTACAAGAAAGCTTCTAGTTCTCCTCTTCTCTGAAATCCATTTTTTTTGTAGGGACATATTTTACACTTTACTTACACGAAAACCTATGGCACAACAAAACACAGTGTTACAGCTTTTAATTTTTGTTACATACTACAACCAAAACTCAATCTGGTTTCAGAAAAGTTTAGACTAGAATTTACCAGTTATCTGCTGTATTAAGAAGGCCGGGAATATCCTTTTCAGAGTTTACCTAGGTCAGCTCCTCTCCAGCACTGCCCCCTTTTTGAAAACATTAACGTATTTAACTTAAAAACCAGCAACTAAGATAACAAAAACAAAACTAAACCCCAAACTTTAGAGTAAAGCCCCCACTGCTTTTTACACAACTTCTGAGCACTGAACAGGTTGCCTAGAGATTTTGTGGTGTCTCCATCCTTGAGAGATTATCAAAAGCCACCCGGACACGGTCTTGTGCAGCCTGCTCTAGGTGACCCTGCCTGAGCAGGGGAGTTGGACAAGATGACCTCCAGAGGTTCCTTCTGACCTCAACTAATCTGGGATTCTATACCACTTTTGTTTGTAAAGCTGATTTTTCCCAGCATCTACAAAGATTCACTTTCATGATAAATAAATCAAGAAACAACTTAACTGCAATTACTCACACAAAATCAAGTGTTTATTTACTATTTACAAGTATAAACACATTAATTCTACAAGTACTCTGTCATGTTCTTCATTATCATGGCACCTTAGATAAGGATAACATATTATGCAAGTAAGCCTTAGTTTTATCAGGCATCTGTACATGGCACATGATAAAGTGATGCTTTTCCATAGTTCTATACATCTTTAGGACTAAAAGCAACTGTACATTGGATTTTCTTATTTTTGGTCAAACAGATACAAGATTCTATTAATTTTATCAAAAGATTACTTGTTTATTTGGGCACAAGTCATAACAGCCTTTTCACTTCAGTGTTTTACAGTATCAACAACTTCTGGCTTTGCAGAGAACATTCCCCCCCCCTCCAAAGTCAATCGGGGAGCCACCACCATCAGATACTGTCAATGACGGGAATTCCATCATTTCAGTTGCAAGAGAACCTTCAAAAAGAAGAAATAAGATTAAAGTTGGGTGAGACCAGAATATAAGTAGTCTAGGAAATACAGCTTTGTGCTTTCTGTTACAATATGATACGCAACTGTACAAACATCTTTCCTCTAGAAAATACACCATTCCTCTCTCAGTTATCTTTTACAGTCTCACATATAACCCTCACTTCCAGCAATTTTCTTTAGCATTTAATGCATGCAAATCATTCCTCAGCAACCTGTAATCAAAAAGCAGAATGGTAATTTCCAGGTCCACTGAGATTCCTCCCACACAAAGTAGAACTGAGGGACCATTCCTAGAGTGAATTCCTCCTCATACGCACATAAAACTAAGTAAAGAGATGACAACATCCCACAGCTTCCATACAGACCTTCAAGCAGAACAAAAGGCATGTGGGGACTGAAGCCTGTCCTAGAAGAATCTCTCTTTGCATAGTGTAGAGTTCACATTCCACCAGACCACCACCTGTACCTGGACTGATGCATTTATCTCACTGGGAACTGCGTAGCTATTCAGAGGTGTCATATTAGCCTCATTAAAGCAACTGATAGACATAATTTTAGTGTCTTTTGTAATTCAAAATATTAACAGTGCTATTGTAACTTAGTTCTAACTTTATGAGCTATAAAACTATTATTTTCAGTTGTTATATAATGACAAAGATATTTTCTTTTCTAAATGTTGGGCCTATAAATTCCAGCTACAGCATTACAACATTACATAAAACATCTGAAGAAACCTCTTACTTGCTAAATGTCATGAAGCAACTAGAAGCTACTGATTTCTAAAACATGTTGATACAACACTTCCACATCCATCCTGCAACACATCAGAGAGTTCCAGCTCTCAGATAACAGAGAAAAAATATTTAAGACAGATTTAAAAAAAACCCCAACTTTCCTTTTTAACAGAGCCAGAATTAATAGTGAAAGGTAAATGAACAAGGAGGGACTCCAAGATTCAGTTACCACCAGGGTGCAAGTCAGATGACACTTCCCCCAGTAATTTTTCTTCACTTGATCACCTCTCTTAGTCTTTTCTATTCAGAAATCCAAGACACTCCAAAATAAAGTTTCAGATTATTTTTCTGCTTCGGTTACTGTACTAGAATCTTTGTAACTTTCCTCCTGATTTACCATGCCATGGAAATTAAAGCATTCAGTTTGAACCAAACAGCTCTTCCATATACATTCCCAACCACTGAAATTTTGTGAAGCTAGGGGAACTCTGGAGTTCTCTCCAATCTTTCAAAAATCAACTTTCATCTGACATTTGTCATTTCATTTGCTTCTCCTTCTACTCTCACAAGACTTTTTGATGGTGTTCTGAAGAGTCTATGATGCTTATTAGGATTCTAATTACATCTTTTTAAAAAAAAAAAAAAAAAAAAATCTACAGTCAACCGTGGTAAACAACCCCTGAAGTCTACCCAAGATAGTCCTCCTTATGTAAGGCTTTCTGCAACTCTATCATTTTGCCAATGAATGACTTAGATTGGGTTTTTATCAAGATACCCAGAACAAACAATGTGGTTGGTATCTACTACAGGCCACCTGATCAAGGGAAGTCTATTGACAAAGTCTGTTTATTCCAGCTATAGGAGGCATCGCCCCATCCCTGGAATTATTCACGGTCAGTTGGACTGGGCTCTGAGCCACCCCATCTAGTTGAAGATGTCCCTGCTCACTGCAGAGGGATTGGACTAGTCCCTTCCAACTCAAAGTATTCTATAATTCGAGGAATTTCAGTTAAACTCAGTACATGAGAATTCAGGAACAAAGGACAGTATCAGTAAAAACTACCTTATTAGCAGCTTCCAGAGTGTTTATTAGGTTCTGCAATTCCTCCTTATTCATCTCTATAGAAACTGGTTTAATTTCACCATTTTCTCTCACATCCAAATCAAGATTGAGAAGTGGCATCTGCAGCATGGAGATCTTATCACTAGAGAGAGCAAGCTGTGTAGATTGATGAAAAAACAATAACATGTAAGGTAGAATCATTACATTTTCAGTCTTTCATAGCATCACATCTGCACTTTATATTGAATGTGTACCACCAGAACAAACATCAGCATGACAAAATTAACTTCTCACAAGTCATCTCTGCAGGTTTTGGTTTTGTCACGTCTTCCCCTCACTGGGATTTTTGGTTGTTTATTAATACCAACATATAATAGCAATACACTTGTCAAAACAATTTGTTAAAAGTACTGGGCTGCTATATTTTTACATTCTAGGTGAAAAGAGAGGATACATTTGATCATGGCTCTTTAAAAATGAAGTATATGAATTCTGAAGTCACTGTATTCAAATAGTTCTGGTTATCAACAAGTAAGAAGAGTTACAGAAGGGGCAGTTGGGAGAAAGAGGACACTTTTATCCTGGGCTGTATCAAAAGCATGACCAGCAGGTCAAAGGAGGTGATCCTGCCCCTCTACTCTGCTCTTGTGAGACCTCACTTGGAGTATTGTGTCCAGTTCTGGTGTCCTCAACATAAAAAGGACATGGAGCTGTTGGAACAAGTCTAGAGGAGGGCCACGAGGATGATAAGAGGACTGGAGCACCTCCCGTATGAAGACAGGCTGAGAAAGTTGGGGCTGTTGAGCCTGGAAAAGAGAAGGCTGCGTGGAGACCTCAGAGCAGCCTTCCAATATCTGAAGGGGGCCTACAAGAATGCTGGGGAGGGACTCTTCATTAGGGACTGTAGTGGTAGGACAAGGGGTAATGGCTTTAAACTTAAACAGGGGAACTTTAGGTTAGATATAAGGAAGAAGTTCTTCACAGTGAGGGTGGTGAGGCACTGGAATAGGTTGCCCAAGGAAGTTGCGAATGCTCCAACCCTGGAGGCGTTTAAGGCCAGGCTGGACAGAGCCTTGGGCAACATAGTTTAGTGTGTGGTGTCCCTGCTCATGGCAGGGGGGTTGGAACTAGATGATCTTAAGGTCCTTTCCAACCCTAACTATTCTACGATTCTATGCATTTTTCAACTCTCTCTACAGCTGATAAAACACTGTCAGATATTCTATTGGACAAGCAGTGATGAAGAGGATTACATACCAGTAGTGCGTTCTTTTTTGTTTACTATTATACTCACGCTAGTATAAATAAGGCTTATTAATTATATTAAAATCAAAGATTAGTTGATAATACAGTAGATATTCTACACATCCATCTTATTTATTTGAGATCAGAATGTGGTACAGCAGAGGAGACAATGAGACAATGTCCTTGGTAGGATTCAACTATGGTAAGCTAAAAAACATCCCCAGTGATTTAATGCAAAATGAAAGTTCAGACGTACCAGAAATCTGCATTACAAAATACAAATTTAATTGAAAAACTCTTTCAGAAGACAAAGGTAAGCAAAACCACATAAGTTCAAAATAAGTCTAGTTCACATAAGTTCATGTGAGTCTAGTCTCTATTTCTGCCAGCACTAAATACAGTTAGTAAGAGAAAAAGCCCCTAGTAACAGTTCATCTGAAGCACACTACAATGCCATATTTGCTCTTGCACAATGTTGTCTATTGTGGGCACTGCTCATTGATTTCCAAAGCTGTTTCCTGCACAAATTGTTTAACACTCTTGTTGAAATGGGAAATCATTTAACATCTCTACAAATGCGTTTAACAGCTCTCATGGGCTAACTAAAAATATAAACAGCATGTAACGTTGTTAAGTCTTTGATAGAGTTTAATTTAAAGCAGCTGTCTTCATAAACCCAAATTGTAGGCAACACAGTCATCATTGGCTTATTATCAAAGTAAGCCTAATGATAAATAATTTCAAATTAATTCGTTATTGCAGGAATCTAAAAATCTGAAAAAAAAAAAGCCATGGAAGCAAACACATCCTGAATCAGTGCACTACTCCTGAAATTAAACACATATTTCTTCTTCCTTTGAGTAAAAATACTGTCTATTCAGGCCACAAAAACAAAACTTTCAGGTGTTCCTGAATAACACTCACTTTCCTTTTAGGAAAGAGATTGGTATTGCAGCTTTGAAAGAAGGGGGGCGGAATTTTACTTTTACAGTTTATACAAATTTCAGGCAAGTCTTTGAAGTGTTACCATGAATATGTTTTTCTGATACCTATAAAAATTTAACCATTCTCCAGAATGAGCAGGCCTAACGGGTCTGTATCAACATTTACTTCCTTCCATAAAACTTCTTTCAAACAACATCAAGGCAACACACTCACCTTTAACTGCCAGTCAAAATCCTGCAGCTGGGCAGAAGAGATTGCATTTACTCTTTCCACTAGCGCATTCCTGATTTCTTCCCTTCTGCCTTTTAGACATTTTGTGATTTCTTCTTGATAGCTTGAATTTAATTCATTTATCTGCTGAGCAGCCTACAAAAATAAAAATTGTGATTGCCTAAACTATGAATCACAGAAATAACAGGTACCATCCGCAGTAGCTGTGCTCTGTAGATACCCAAGCTTCTACTCAAATAGCTGTTATATTGGACTCCATAGTCTCATCTTTCTTATAACCTCCTCAGTGACTGCTGTCTGTGTTTGACAGGTAAAAGTTAGTATTCACCAGAGCAAAATATAAATAAAAAAGTTATTTTCTTGTCATTTACGTTAAGAAAGACCAAATAATGGAGGCTTTAGTAGCCTTCTTAGATGCCATCCTAAAAACAAACAAAAAAAATCACACACACAAACAATGCATGTTTAGCTCGGAAAGTTTCTGAAAAATCACAGTGGAGACAAAATACATTAGCTTTGCTGGAAAAGACATAATTACATACAGATTTTGCTATGGCTACACAAGTATTTTTCTTTGATCTAGCTACTATCAGGTAGCCAAAATAAGAACAACACCCAAAAGATGGGAATTAAGATTTTTTTATAATGGAACAAGTTTTTCCAACGTTTATACACACTGGAGTGCCCTGAATAGTCCCTGTCCCACATGGCGCTCCATTCACAGTCTAGATTTTTTTAGTATTATTTACACAGTCAATACTTTAAAGCACTTCAATGCAGTAGTAATGAATCAATAAAGCCAAAAAAGAGCGTGAATGGGTTTTATTTCTGATGAACAGTAATGGCAGGTTATAGATTTTAAGGAAAACAGATTTGGTGGCACTTGAGAAATCAGTGTCAATTTAAGTATTTGCAGTGTTATCTCTAAAGGCAGCTCAACTACCTATTTAGGCTTAGCCTGCTACTATTCAAATGCTACACAATAAAAACACTTTAGGACTAAATAAACTACAAGACTAATCACTCCAGTATTCATTCTGTCTCTCAAAGTCAAACTCAGTCAGTTATGAGCCCTTACCTCTTCATCAGATATGTTTTTGCCAACTGCAGTTTTGAAATACGTCACGGTTTCTTCTAAAACCTCCATCCACTCCAACAAGCTCCAAATACTGCCATAATCCTGGTACCGAGGATATGCACGGCCACATATGCCATCAACTATTTTATGAAAGAACTGAAACAATGTGACACATACTTTAAGAACATAATTTTATCATAGATAACCTACACCAGATACAGACTGACCAATTTGCTTATCACCCCTCCCTTTTCTGGGTATTGTCTCAATGCCCGAGCACAGCCAGTACACATTCTACAGTCGTAAACAGGTTGTCCCAGAATATGAACTGTCCTCCCCTCACAAGGTTTGGCCACAGAAATCACAAGCTGATTCAGATTCACCCTGGACTTAATAGCTTTGTGCACAACTATAACGTACTGTTGAGCACCAGGGATTCCACACGAAATGGCACCTCAGTCACCTCCCCACCGGGACTGTTGGGATGCAAAGCACAATTCAAAAGCGCTGAGCTCTAACCCTGTGCCTGCGGATCTCTGTAGTCTCCCAAACCACTGTCCTCTAGCACTGGTGCTCTTCTACATGCCTATTTTCTTGACCTGCTGTAGTAATTTTCCTTCGAGCACCACAAAGACGCAAACCCAGCCAGTTCGCTACTTCAGCGACTAGAAACGGCCGGAGCCCCACTGGAGCAGCCGGAGCGGCCGCACGCAGAGCATACCCCTCAGCGCCTGCGCTTGGACGGCGGAAGCCTTGCGCTGGGAAGAGCTCAAGGGTATTTGCAATCACCTAACAGCAAAGGGAGTGCAGAAACACCCGCTGGGTGTCCGTCCGGCGCGTTCCGACCCTGTACTTTCGGTTTCTCTTTGCAGAGGCCGCCGAGGGCGGGGCAGTA